GGGGGGGGGGGGGGGGGGGAAAGGGGGGAGGGAGGGAGGTTTTGGTGATGGGACACAATAACTAACTACATTGTATATTGACAAAATAAAAATAAAAATAAATAATAATAATAATCTGTGATCACACATAACACCAAGCATCAGTAAGTGTTTCGATTTTATTTAACATGCAAGCAGAACATTTTTTGACTATACATCTATATAATGCATAGTACTGGAAAAGTACGAAAATTTACCATAAACATATGGTTATGAAGCTGAATACCCACAGGGGTTGCCTCGTTAACCCAACTAAGCACTTTTGCTCATTGAAAGAAGCCACAGGTTTGTCTGGAAGCCTTCTGGACATTAATAGTTTTTCAGCATCTTCCGTCTACTCTCTTCTGAACTGGCTCAGGTTGTTCAGCACATACGCAGCCGGTGTTAAGAAGGTCGTAAAAATCACCACAATTCCAACAGTGATTTCCTGGAACAGAAGATGGAAAGCGCTGGTAACGAAGATGGCTTCCCGAATCACCGACTCACTGCCTAGCATTGCCTAAAACGGTTTGAGGAATTCGACAGTTGTCCTAGAAAGAGGGGCCTGGTGAAACCTAAAATGAAGGAATTCAGTTCATGGATGATCTAACTTTATTTCTATATTTGTTTGTTTGTTTTTTAAGTACATTAGAAAATTTTATTGGAAATCTCTTGAATACCTAACTGAAGTTTTAAAGTTTTTTCTTTGAATGAGGGGCTGGCCGGTAAGCTCAGCTGCCTAGAGTGCAGCCTTATAACATCAAGGTCACAAGTTCGGTCCCCGTACCGGTCAGGCGCCAAAAAAAAAAAAAAAAAGAATTAAAATTCTCCTCACGGATTTCCACCGTTTCAGGGACAATGCGAGATCTTCACAATGAAGTGTGCATTCGAACGTGGTAAACTAACCTTCGGTGCAACAATGGCTCTACCCCTCGGTCTTCGTGCCCACAAAGGGGCTCCGAAGCCCACGCGCTCCTCAGGGTCCCCGGCTTCCTTTCCCCTGGGCTCCCTCCAACGGCGGCCCAGCCAAGAAGCCCCTCCACGCGCGCCCTGCGCCCTGCGCCCTCCGCTCCCTACTCCCCGCCCGTCAGAGTGCCTCCGGCCTAGGCCAGCGCTTCCCGCCCGTCCCGTCCGCGCCTCTCTGGTGAGTGGGCCCCAACTCACCGCGGGCAACGCGGGACGCGGGCGCCAGGGCTCCGAGTGGGTGAGGCGGCGGCCGCGCTGCAGGTAGAGCAGGGCCACGCGGCGGCGCGGGCAGACCACGAGCAGGCGAGGCATGGCGCGTCAGGTGAGACAAAGCGTAGTGTGGGCTGAACTGACAGCACCGGCAAGGCGAGGAGAGCACAGGCGAGGCGGGAGACACCAAGGCGGATGGTTTGCGCAGGCGCCCGGCCACGAGAGGGCACCCTTCTCTCCACCCCCGCTAAGCCCCGCCCTCGCCTCGCCCCTTCCGCTCAGCCCCCTATACTCCCTCCCAGCCTGGGCCCGCCCCCTTCTCTCTCACATCCGACTAGGCCCAGCTTCCTACCCCCTTAGCAAACTCCCTTCCCACCCACTCTCAGTAGCTCTTGATTTTCTGCTGGGTAAGATGAGGGATTCAGCACCCCTGCACCTACTTCCCTTTGTCTTCTTCCCCAGCTATATATGTATACCTCTCAACTTACTGTTGCTTGTCATTGGGGAGTTTATAGCACTTATACTTTGTTCTCTTATGTTAACTAAATCTTCTATAAATTGTGTCTAGGTTAGTTCTTAACATAGAAAACCAAGGACGAGTATTTGTAGTGTGCTGATGATGTAAAAATTATTCATGGCAGGATCAAATAGACTGCGTAGACCCAGTAGAGAAGTTGATATAAACATGTCATTAAACTTGTATCTCTTAAAGGAAAAATCAAATATATTGTGATTTTAAATTTTAATACTATAATAAACTTTTATCTGCTCACTAAGGTGATCCAGTTTCTTCATACTGTTTCTTTTTGGGGCTTGTTGCACAAGTAGCATTCTAAGACTTCTTTTGATTGTCCTGTTTCTGCACCTGTTATCTTCTTTCTTAGATTCCTATTTCATTTTGCTGTAGTACACCCTTCAGCAGTTCTTTCAGGAAGTGACTGTGAGTTATAAATTTCCTCAGTACTTGAAAATTTAGGGGGAAAAAAGATATTTTGCTCTGTACATAAACACTAATTTGGCTGACTATAGAATATTAGGCTCAAAATCACTGTCCCTTGGGAATTAAAAAAAAGGCATTGTTCCCTTGTTTTCTAGCATCTAGTGAACTAATAAGTGTAATGCTAATATAGTTGTGATTCCTTTGCCGTATCCTCTAGGAGATCTACTTCTATTATTTATTTCCTTCTCTCTATTTTCTCTCTTCTCAATCTGAAACTCCTATTAGATGGATGTTGGCCCTTCTTAGTAAGTCATCTATGTCTTTCAACTTTTCTCTCACTTTTCATCTTTTTGTCCCTTGTTTTACATTCTAGAAAGGCTTTTTCTTCTAGCCTTTATCTTGATTTTCTCACTTTAGAATTATATTTTTAAAACTTACCATTTTTTTGCTTTCAGAAGAGTCACCTGTTAGTATTTCATAGATGCACTATCACCTCAAATTTCTCTCAGAATATTAATTTGAACTTTTTAAAGTTCTCCTCTCTTCTATGAACTACCTGTGAAAGTTGTCAGAAACAAAATGGAATCACTTGTGTCAAACCCTGACAAAATGGAGACAAGGAAGGCCATGAAGGGAGCATGATTGCCTGATAACAAGAACTATCAAAAAAGACTCTGCCAAAACCACAGTCTTGCACAAAGGCCACTGCAGTCTTATACAAAAAATACTTCTGCAAGGATGTCTGCCTAGCAACTCCCTGTCCAAACTTGGATTGACACTACGCTTCCTATTGATCCTTGTAGCCAAGGATAATTGTTAAAAATTACTTGTGTGACCCCCCTCATTTTACCTTTAAAACTCCTGTCTTTGCCTCCCTGAATGTGCCCATGCATATTTCCATTGCAATGCTCATTCCAGAATAAACTTATTATGTTTGGAGAATCTCTCTCTGTTATTTAGGTTGAAAAGAGCAAATTCTATTTATTCATTTTGGCCGTATGTTTTTTGCTCAGCTATCTTATGACCTTTGGTTGTCCTTTCACATTTATGAATATGAGGAATCAGGTGAATACTTGGGTTCTTTTTGATTACTATCTTACTCCATTCAAGCTGTTAGAATACCATAGACTGAGTGGCTTATTAATAACAGAAATTTATTTTTCACAGTTCTGGAAGCTGGGAAGTCCAAGATCAAGATGCCAGCAGATTTGGTGTCTGGTGAGGGCCTGCTTCTTCACTCATAAACAGCTGCCTTCTCGCCATGCCCTCACATGGTGGAAGGGACAAGGCAGCTCTCTGGGGCCTCTTTTATCAGTCTCATTCATGAGGGCTCTGCCCTTGTGATCTGATCACCTCCCAAAGGTTCCACCTCCAAATACCATCACACTAAGGGTTAAGACTTCAACATGTGAATTTGGGGGGTTGGGAGACACAAACATTCAGTCTATAGCAATTACCAGTCTTTCCCCACAATGAAAATACTGATTACATGTTCTATGTCTGTGGGCTGAGTATGTCAACTGGCAGTCAGGAAGGCATCCTCCTTCACCCCCTATGCCAAAGTGACTGTGATTCTACTCAAGGCTTCCCAACTGCTTTTCTGCCATCCCAGGAAATAACTCAGTTTCATTAAAGAATTTAGCTTCAGCTTAAGACAAACACTGCAAAATATGCACAAGGTTTGGGGAGGAAAGGAAGAACAGCTGACCCATACATTCTTTCCATTGACTGCTCTTCCATCAGTTACCTTGAACTTGTGCTTTCCTCCCATTCCAGGTCTTTGTAGGTATCAATTTACAAGAAGGAGAGGCTCTGCTGTGGAAAGTATCTTGTGCCCTTCAGCCTCTGTGTGCTCAGAGCTGTGGCTCCTTGTTCTCTGCTTTACCCACCAAAATGAACGCTCTACCTTCAGTCTTAGAGAAGTTCACCAAAACCTTCGATCTGCTGATGTAGCCACACTTCTTCATTTCTCATTTCACTCATGGATTCATTTCCTCTTGTACTTCTTTACTGAGAATATAGTGGATGTTCTCAAAGAAGTATTGATAAACACTTGAGCTCCTTTTTCTATCTTAAAGTGGATGCCCCACTTGAATCATTGGAGTTTACTAAATATCGTGGAAAGGCACTACAGGCTCTAGCCTTATAAAGCAGGGACAGTGTGGTCTGATTTCCATTTTCCAATGATCACCCTGCTCTGTAGAGAACAGAAATATGGGTAAGAGGTTGTATTAGTCAGGGTTCTTCAGAGAAAGAGAATGAATAGGATGTATTTATATATGTATATAAAAGGAGATTACTATGAGAAATTGACTCACATGATGATGGACATTTAAAAGTCCCACAATCTGCCATCTGCAAGCTAGAGACCAAGGAAAGCTGGTAGTGTAGTTCAGTCCAAGTGTAAAGGCCTGAGAACCAGGGAACTAATGATGTAAATCTCAGCCTGAGGGCCAGAGAAGATGACATATGTTCCAGTTCAAGCAGTAAGGCAGGAAAAAAAGGGCAAATTCCTCCTTCCTCCACCTTTTGTTCTATTCATGCCTTCAGTGGATTGAAATGATATAAATTTGTATATATCTGGCTAAAAATAATACACTATAAAAATTAATTGCAATCAGTTTTTAAAAATTCTTACCCTGACCGACCAAGGTCCTGCATGAACTGTGTCTGGCCACCTCCCTATCCTCACCTCCTTGTTTTCACTCTCCCTTTTGCTCATCCTGCTCCAGTCAAACCTGCTAAACTCTAATTTTGCCTAGGAATCTCCAGATAATAATTTGAGCACCTCTGAGTTACACGAGTTCTGTAAGCACTGGTTTAGTGCAGCATCACCCCATTTCCTGGCCACAGTTGATTGGTCTAAGGTTGAGCTGTTGACTCAAATATTGGGCCAAAGACCTTTCTCCAGGGATGTCATGCCAGGAACCAGAAGCACCAGAACCCAGTCTATTTGTTGGGATGGATGGTATGACTTAGTAGCCATGTTTTTTTTTCTACATATGGAGAAAGCCCCTCCATGGTGAGTTAACAATGAAGCCAAGGGCTGACCAGTTAGCTCAGCCGGTTACAGTGTGGTGTTGATAACACCAAGGTCCAGGGTTTAATCCCTGTACCAGCCAACTGCAAAAAAAGTTAATAAATAAATAAAGCCAAGCTGTTGGAAGAAGCAGAGATAAGAGCCAGAGGGAACATCCTGATGACTTTCAAATCCATGGTTCTCACTGTTTAGAAGTTAGGATGCTTTACTGTCCTTGAGTTCCAGGTCATTCTTTATGATAAACCCTGCTTTTGGTATAAAGTAGTTGGAGGTAGATTTCTATCATGTACAACAAGAAAGTCTTAATGAAGACTATATTAATCTTTTTTCTTCATGGCATTACCCCATATTTAATTTTTAAAAAGTAACAAAAATACTGATGTAAACTAAGAAAGAGCTCATTAACAGAAGAGCCTGGCTAAATTAATCCTAATCTTGAGAAGTTTAGAACACAGTGCAGCTGATGTGGGAATCAAGCATTTTAGGTCTTTCTCTGTGACAAAAACATTAAATTACTTTTGACAGTGTCAGTAAATCTGACTCCAACTTCAGCCACAACACAGTTAAGTTTCCTGCTGCCCACCCCCACCCCAGGAGACAGCTTTTAGCTGCTCAAATTACCAGTACAAACAACTTTCCTCAGTTTAATTTCTCCAAGTCACAATAGACTAGCATTGTTAACTCAAACCTCTACAATTTTCAATAAAGGGTTTAATGGGCCCAGATTCAATGTATTCTCAGTGACCCACAATGCAAGACCTTCCTTCTACAGTTATATAAAAGGGCATAATTACAGCTATAGCCTAGAGATCAGGTTTTTTGAGCTGTATGTATACAATGAATAAGAAAGACACTCTCACCCACTTCCTTCTTTTTAATGTGATTTTTATAAAAGTTCATGTTCTAAATAAACTGGTGTTAGAGTTCTAGAAAATTATATAATGGATTACAACTGCATTACCTCAGGCCCAAATATCTTGTATTCTCTCTCTAGAAAAACACATTTAATTGCTGTTCAAGGACCAAAGGTCTTTGAGGAATGAAGTGACTCTCTCTCTATTTGTGTCTATCTTTACAACTGCAAGACCTCAATGACAGAGGAACTCAGACTAAGCAAGCGAGAAGAGCAGAAGAGCAGCAAAGGTGGAAAAACATTCAAGTTATGCAACTGGAAACAACAGTAATTTGCTTGAATTACAAGTACAATAGCAATATAAGAAGATCCAACAAAAAC